AGCCCCGTTTCTGACTCTTCTGTGTAAATGTCTAGGTTTTGTAACAATCAGCAACAGGCTGGAAATGAATAAAAATATCCTTACTGGTTATAAATCTTCTTATGTGAATAAATCTTAGTAACATTCATAAGAGAGAACCTTTAATACTGACAACGCTACATTGTTGCATTTAAAAAAAAAAAAAATTTCTAGAAAAAGGCAGTTCGTCAAGCAATCAGCACATAAAGCACATTTGAACAAATTCACACAGATATGATTAATAGGAACAATTCAGAATTCATAGCTCAGTACCTCGAAACACAAAGTGGCATTAAAGCTGTGTTTTATGTTTTTCCATTTTTCAATGCATGTTGTTTGAGTGTCTATTGTTCTTTTTCAGGACTCCAGCTACATTATTTCTCAAGTTATGGAGCTTCAAACATTGTTTCAGAGATTGACACGAAGAAAACAATGCAAAAATTGAGACCTCACCCCCTAACTAATGTTACCTCTGACCCCAGATTTGACATATGGTCAACTCAATCAGTGTCACTATTTTAAAAACAAATCAGTCAAACTGAAGATGGTCAGGCGTGGGGCATTGGGTGAACGTAGGCTGAATGACCCATATCAGGTGTCACTCAGCGTGACTTTTGCCTGATTCATTTTTGTATATTTAAATAAGTGAACAATAAAATACAGAACAGTCCTGAATGCTTCTCAGAAACGTCCTTTAAACACTGGCAGGTACCAGTGATTCTGACTTCAGCCAATTTGCTCCAAGAGTTGAAATGCTGGATTTTAAACCTGTGAGTATGTCTTCTATTAACACTGTTATTACTGTTACAGCAAAGCTCCACTGCAGGGGAATGTAAAGCAGTAAAATCATTTGTGTCAATGTTCTGTCACGTGAAGAGTTTGAAAGGAATTTCAGATATCATTGATTTTCTGGAGTGTCTAAAAAAATGAGCACTGCAGAGCTGCATAGTTGGTGTAAGAGATCCAGAGTGTAAAAGTCATACATTTATATTCTGCAAGCTGAAAACCCGCTTCCTAAAGTTTCATCTGCTCTTCCTGGTATTAGATTGAAATAGTGTAATATGTTTTATTGGATATAATATTCAGTTTTGTGTGATTCCTACATTTATATTAAAATTTTAAAAAATTGTCTTTTAAAGCATTGTTGTAATTGGAGCTATACCGAGCATGATTGTATTGAGTCTCAGCACAAAAAACACAATATAATAATAATAGGCTGGGACTTTAGCGTATTAATTTTAAATAATTACAGAAAAAGGGCTGCAAGGTTTCTCGATGGTTTGCGTCCTAGTGAGGACACCAGGATCTTTCTGTGTGGAGTTTGCATGTTCTCCCCGTGCAGTGTGAGTTCTCCGGCTTCCTCCCACACAGTCCAAAAACATGCTGAGGTTAATTGGTGATTCTAAATTGTCTGTAGATGTGAATGTGAGTGTGCTTGGTTGTCTGTCTCTAAGTGTAGCCCTGTGATAGACTGGTGACCTGTCCAGGGTGTCCTCTGCCTTCACCCTGAGTCAGGTGGGATAGACTCCAGCCCGCCCAGAAGTCAGGATTAAGCGGTGTATAATGGATAATGGATGGATAATACGTTGAAAAAATGTAATGAATGTAATCGCATCTTTCTCAGTTCCCTATCTTCTGGCATATTGTAATCGCTGATGTTACGTGTCCGCAGGAGCGATTTTGCCAAAGTTTTCCAAATTTGCATGAGGTTGACGTCAAGTCTACTTTATGCAAAGGAGCTCGGGGGCGACGCTCCAGGGCAGACAGATGAAAAATACACAGACAGATATAGATGAAAAATAAACATTTTTGTTGTTTAAGGTCACATATATTCCTATTCATTGATTCAGTCATCAAGCAAAATAATTTCAATTGAAAAACTTTGCTTATTGTGTCAAATGTTGGTATTTGGTAAAAATGCAGTTAATCATTAATAATTTGTGTTGGGACGCGTTTCATTTTTTAATCGCATCCCACCACGAATTATGAAGCATCTTCAGTGTTATTTGCTTTGTTGATTACAACATTGCCTGACCTATGTTGTTTATATATTGTGTAGTTTAGTGCATTGGTGGCTGTGCTTTTTGTTGTCAAAAACACGGTTTGCTTCAGTGTCTAACAGTTTTTTCTTGTATTTCTCATTTCCAGTGCAATCAGAAATGAATCCTAAACTGATTCTGACGTTCTTCTTCTTCGGTAAGTCAAGACAGTGATTTACTTAAATAATATCTGAATACACAGCACAGCAGTTTATAAGCTTCAATACTTTTTTTTAGAAGGTGTAACTGAATAAGGTAAAAAAAAAAACAAACAAACTGAAAAACAGGAAACTGCTCCCCATGAAGCCACGTCCTGCTGATGAAGCCACCGCCCTCATGTCATGCAGGACAGCAGCTAAAATGGCACCAAGTGCAAGAATTCCTAACAAAACACGTGCAAATGTCTTCAAATGAAATAAAACTGTCCGACCGACCCAAAACTTGTGCGCCTTATAAACCTTAGAAATAATTGATAAACTACATTGCTTTGTATTTTTGTTATTGTTCGTAAAATTTAGAAGTGCTTTGGGAAATGTAACAATTTGAACAACACTCAGGAATGTATGAATTATCGCTACAAGACACAGAAAAACACGTAACCAGCTCTCATTTAAAGCCTCAGTTTCTTCTATAAATCTTACAAGTTCATCTCCGAAGTACAATAACACACTTTGTTTGTTTTACCATACTACATAATTATCTGTCCCTATCTTGTGAAGGGAGCATTTATTTTAGGATATCTGAGGTTATATTGTCCTCATGTAGGGCATACTCTCAAATATACATGTTTAATTAAATTACAACAACTTTTGACATGTTGAGTGTTTTTTTGAATTTGAAGTCTGGCTGCAGGACTCAACTTAGTAGCAGCAGGTTCATATCAGACAGAGGTAGAAAATCAGGGATATTCTGATCAATATGGACATCAAAATGATTCATCACATTTACTTCTACATTGTGCTACATTCCAGCTAATGAACAAATATTTGAATCAAAATGAGACTTAAAATAAGGTTCTGCTTAACCTGAACTCAGTGTATCTCCAATAGATAAAATATAAATAAAACGATACGCAAAGCACGTCAGTCGCTGAAAACCTGCTTAGTCAGATGGTTGTGTGACCAAACATGACTTTGAAAACAACTAAATGAGGTGTTGCGATGTCAGATTTACAATACATGAGCTGGTTTCAGTTACTGGCATTTTCCATGTGCAGACGTCACTAACATAATATAGAATGGAACAAAATGGCAGTCAGCAACGTTACTTTTATTGTGGGAAGCCAAAATCGTGATTAGGATGAATATTCAGCCAACTGTGCAGCCTGAGATAAAGGTTATGGTCAATGCAAACACTCACTGGTCAACACAGGAACATGTCGGGAAGAGGATGCTCTCCAGTCATCGTGTGTGCAGTTCAGGCAGACCGTACATTCAGATTAAATGAGACATTTTTCTACTGTACATTGAAATGAAAAATATTTTTAAAATTATTCAGATGAACACGTCCAAACAAACATTTTGATACTTTACAGTTAAATATGTCCTCTATCTTAAATTGTCAGGATGCGGCCTGACCTCCTGCTCTCGCGTCATCCTACGTGAGTACCACTATGTCAACTTGGCAATGAACTGGACCGACGCTCAGCATTACTGCAGAGTAAACTACAATGATCTGGCCACCATTGAAAGGATGGGTGACATAACCTGGTTAAACGGACCTAGACGGGAAGACTCGGCAGCATGGATCGGACTGACAGATGACCCAAAATCCTGGAGGGGAACTATGGGCAATGATGCAAACTCCTGGAGATGGACAGCGACTGGTAAAACAAGCACAACTGGTTACCATAACTGGGACTCACCTGAACCAAATAATAATGGAGGAAAAGAGAACTGTGCTTTTGTGACCAGGGAAGGAAAGTGGAGGGATAGTAAGTGTGCCCTTAGACGTCTTTGTATTTGTTACCAAGGTAAGTAATGTTTTGTGTTGGTATTGTATATGTATTGTAATATTGGTATTGTACATGTATTTTTTTTGTACAGGTCCATCTCATTTTATTAGAATATGGCAGAAAAGGTTCAATATTTTTGCTCAAAGTGAAATCTATACACATATTCTTGACTCAGTACACAAAAACTGAAATATTTCAAGCCTTCATTTGTTTTAACTTTGGTGACAATGGCGTTAAGCTCATGAAACCGCCTCAAAATCAATCTCAAAATATTAGAATTTTGCAGAGGGCCACAGAGATGTCAATAAAGGGCCCCTAGACAATCCCACATAATCCAGAGAAGAACTCTAATCACCTAATCCACTCAAAACACCTGCAAGGAGCCTTTAATTTCCCAGTCTGGTTCAGTATACACAACCACAATCATGGGGAAGAGTGCTGACTTGACAGTTGTCCAGGAGACAATCACTGAAACCCTCCACAAGAAGTATTGAGTCAATACATCTGCAACATACACAAAAGTGAGCAAAGTAGTCAAATCTTTCTTGTGGCTACATGGAACAAAAGTAGACAACACAATTACTTTATTGCAAAGAAGTCCTGTCTTCAAAAGTTTTATCTGAACAAAAGTAGTTTCAGAATAAAGTACTGTTTCGATTCTTTGCACATACATTGAGGACGACTTACGTAGTTGTGTCAGGAACTCACTGATGACAGACAGGTGGACACAGAAAAGGTTCAGGCAGAAAGAGAGGTTTATTACTGGTCAGGGTTCGGTACACAGAAGGTCAGTCAAATCAGGCAGAGGTATCCAAAAAGCAAGAGGCAATAGGCAAGGTCCAAAAACAGAAACAAAGGTCGTAACAAACAGACTGTGACTAAGATTAGAAGAACGCTGGTACGAAGACTGTGAAAGTGTGACGAACTGGCGACGAGACAGTGAGACACACAGGGTAATATTCACGAGGTAATGAGGGGAGATGGGAAACAGGTGTGGGGAAGTCATCAGGGAACAGGTGTGACAAGACAGGTGCAGGAAGTAAAATGAAAAAAAGAAACAACCGGTGGAGTGACTTCAAAATAAAACAGGAAAGACGAGACATAAAATGTGCACACAAAACAGAAAACTTGACAGACATGACAAGTTGATTTTTGTTGATTCTGTATTGACAAAAACTGAAATTAAGATAAAAAAAAAACAAAAAAAAGAAAAGTCATGCACTTCTGCAGTTTATCCTGAAATCTGAGGACTCGGTACTGTCAGAGAAAAGTGAAATAAGTGGCATTTGTTTTCTATCATTTGCTATTTTGTTTCTGCTTTGCTTTATCTGTGACAAGGTTGAACCTGCAGCTACACTGTGGGTAGACAGAAGGGATAGAAATCAGCATGTTTTACATGATCTACTCACCACTACAGATCTGAAACATGTGTTTTGGACGCTACCATCTCTTCACAGTGAATGCTGCAGTCCGTCTCACATGTGCTTTATTTCTCTTCTATTTCAGCGACGAATCCTCCAGGCCAGAAAACATATATACTCAGCCCCACATCAATGACATGGTTTGATGCTAGGGCTTACTGCAGAACACACTATACAGACCTGGCGATTATCGAGAATGATCAGGAGAACACACAGATGTTGTCAGTCAAATCCAACATTACTGTGTGGATCGGCTTGTACCGAGTATCATGGAGGTGGTCCGACAACAGCAGCAGCTCGTTCAGAAACTGGATGAATGGACAGCCAAATAACGCTAATAATCAGTACTGTGCAGCTGAAACCCAAGATCACGTTTGGAATGATGCCCCCTGTTCCAAGAAGATGCCCTTCTGGTGCCAAGATGGTATAAAAAACTATATTGTGAATAACTGTGTGTTCTTTTTTTGCTATTTAGTAATGTTTTTATATTTATTTTATAATGGTTTGTGGTGATGTGTTTGTTGGACTGTCCAGCCCCCCAAAAAAAGACCATTGTGAAGATGAAGATCCAGACTGATGCTGACCTTTCTGATCCAGATGTTAACACCCAGATGCTAGACCAGGTAAGACTCACTCCCATATTCTTTGGTTCTATCATGAAAAAGTAGACCATCAATTTGTTGCTTCCTCTGTTCTTAGGCATCAGAGCCAATAGTTTACATACACTAATAAAGACAATGTATATCAAACAAGCATTAAGATTTGAATTGCTTATATAATGCTTCATTTTCAATGATGGAATCTTTGAAACATCTTTGTGGCAAAAAACAATCATGCATTTTGATTCCTTCATATTTGAGATTCATTATAGAGTTCATGAAGAAAAGACAAAATCTGCTGGATCAAAAATATACATACGGCAATGGAACACAAGATCCAACCTTCTGTCTGGTTACAGAGGCTTTGCTGAAGAAAGTGGAGATAATCCTCCTTCTTCATTATTCTATTTACTTTGTCTAAAGCACCAGTGACACTGGCACCAGCACAGCCTAAGAGCACAACACTACCACCATCACCATAATTGACTGATTGAGTAGAAATGTGTTGTTGGGGTTTAAGGCCTTACTTTAACAAAGAAGGTTTAGTTGAACAGGAACATTATTTTTTTGGTAGATGGGGCTGGCAGGTCATGCCAAGTCATGTCATCATGCATACAAGGACAGTCTCAATCCATCAGAGAGAGTGATGGCATTTATGACAAAAATCTGCTGTATTTACAATTACATTATATTATTAACACTGTGTATCTGGTGTAATTCTGCTTTATCTGCAAGAAAGTGCCTGAAAAACTATTTCTCTACTGTGGGAAAGTGAAAGAACAGAATGAAGCTGCTTTTATGAAACTATTTTCTGCTATGATGGACAATTTTACAGAAAAAGTTTTGAATGTTTCTTCTCCTTCATCAGATTGATAGAATGATGAGGGACAAAGGACTGACTGACTTCAAGCTGCGGTGGACGATTCAGCCCAGAAAAGAGGAGGAGGACAAAGATGAGGACACTTGAAACACGCCTTCATAAGTCATAGTTAAAGTAGTAACAGTGTGGTAAAATTAAGTAAAGAGTGAGACGTAATTGTAGCTTTAATTTAAGTAGCATTATAAGAACTGAATGAATATATCATATAGGAGGTGCTGCTTTTAAATAGTGTAACAAATGACAAATGTATCTGCATTTTAGTACTGAATTTATATTTTCTTTATTCAGAATTAGTCATTTATCTTAGAAAGGCCAGGCTGTCTGAAAGACGTAAATGTAAAAGTAGAGGACGCTTTAATTTAGCTTGAACTCAGCGAGTTGTTTGGCAACAAACCTTGAACTGAATCAATGTGACAAAAGCAACGATGTGTAAAACAGATAAATATCAACTATTGTAAGATAACATCACTGCTTCTGTGTCAGCAAGATTGCGTACAAGTGTTTATAAAGACAATTACACCACCACAAAAGTCCAACACATATAGAGGAAGGTCAGTCGTGATGAACTATGACGACATCTCAGTCAAATTACTTTTGTTGGTTAATCCCAGTCCACCAAAGCCTTCCAAAGTGCTCTGTTTAGAAAGGCAAATTAAACATTTGCAAATCAGACTGCCTTGACTATGTAGTGCATTCAGTGTATCCCATAATGCACCTTGAAAAGTAATGTACAGTCGACGGTAGGGATGGGTATCGCTTAGATTTTATCAATACCGGCACTGATATTGCTTATTGATACCAGTATTTATTGATACTCTTATCAATACTACTCTATCAATTACAGCAGAAAATAAAGACATGACAAAAACAAAGCCAGCACTTCAGCAAACTCTGCTAGAAAAAAAAGTTTGACTCGATTCTAATGACTGAGTGACAGAAATGTTTTAAACTCTGTTCTACGCTAAGATGGCCACAATAAAACAAGATGATTTAATTACACAGTCATCTGACCGTGGTATGACTAAACCACACACTCACAGCAGTCTTTATATGTGGAGGCNTGTCCCTCAGCTGCTGCTCCACCTTCCTCCTGTAGGTGTCTTTGGCCTCTTCCAGGTACAGCTTCACCTCCCTCTGTGCTGATCTGATTGCCTCCCTGTCTTTGTTCCTGAAGGCCACCTTCTTCCTGTTGAGTGCAGCTTTGACCTTCTGCATCACCCAGGGTTTGTTGTTCGGTAGATACGCTGGTTGATCAGCACCGACAGCTCGTCCATCTTGTTCTGCAAAGCGTTTATGTTTCCCATAATTACCATCGGGATTGATGGTTTGAAACGCCTCCGGTCTGTTAGCCTAGCCCTTAGCCTAGTGCTAGCCTTGCTCCCCCGGTAACGTCTCCTCAGGTCAGCTGGGATGTCATGTCGTATTCCAGCCTGAACCATAGGCTTTAGAGGCCGTAGTTCCTCTCGAGAAAAAGTGAGGTTCCTGGCTCCTGCCGGTGATTTAAAGATATAAGTATCCATAGAATATGTAAAGACGACAAGAAAAGTAGAAAAATATCTAAGAAAAATGAGGAAAAAAACGTTCGGTGTTGCAG